ACGGTGCCTTACTAATAGTGGCTACTGCTTGATATATTCTTTTTAATGAATGATGATTCTGCTTGATGATAGAATTCAAGGGAACATGAAGCTGAAAGTTATTGGGTCCTGCTGTGCTACAGAAGAGAGGCTGTACTTAATCTAGTCTGATGACAGCGTTTCACTACACCAGATCATTTAAGTTGTCCCTGGCTAAGGTAGAAACGACCCAAGAGAAATCAGGCTGCAGTGTACATGAAATCAGGCAACAGGCTCAACAGCATTTGCTCAGCTTTGCTTTGCCCTTCAGCCCTGTTTTTCACGGACTTTCTTTGTGGCATATCTGCAAACTTACACTTCTTAACCTAACAAAAGCAGAGTCAGAATTAGAGAGACTTAAAAACAGAAAAGTGCATAGTAAGAGAGTGTTTGCAAATGTAGGTGGGGCAGAGGCTCCCTGGAAGGCCTGATAAAATTACTTTTTGGCTGAATAAACTCGCAGAGCTCTTCTTGAGGCTGAGCAGTGCTATTTCATGCCTCTACCGCAGGCATTTTCTCTCTGAAAAATCCACGGCCCAAGAAAGCAGTTGGTGGTGGGAGGAGGGGGAGTCCCTGAGCTAATCCTTGAGGTTGAGACAGAAACACGGCTGCTTTGGATTCAGCCTGGGGAGATCAAGGAGAAGCCTGACCGCTCTGTTTGGAGAGGCCCATCTTCACTTGGCACCGTTCTCAGCACTCAAGTTCTCTGTCAATAAGCACTTTACAGGGGAGATAAATGGATTTTGAGCTGAGGATGGGAGGAGGGTGTCTGGGGTAGAATAAACACATTATCTGATCTCTTCCACCAAGCCCCTTCACTGAAATGTTCAAGGACTCCGGCCACATGTTTAGCAGAGGCTAGGTAGGAGAGAGATTCTCTTCAGCCCTGTGGGTGATGCCGGCTGGTCTAAGAATAATAGACAATATTTGAAGATCGGGCCTCTGCAGCTTGCTTCACCCGCAGGGCTGCCAGGTGCTGTGTTATGGGATTATCCAGTGACAGTTTGCCTACCATGGTTTTTTGCAAAGAGAAACCATGAACATTCATTCTAGAGTGGGGTGGGTGGATGACAATACTCCACAAACACGAAAGGTGAAATCAAATACTTGGACAAATTCACGAAAAATTTACCACGTTTTTTTTCTGTAATGGTGTCCTTTCCCTACACTTTTTTAAATACAAGAGGTGCTCTTCCCAAGGGAGTATAGGTCTACGGAAGGATACATACAGGCACACTCAGGTCCTAAGATATACTACTTCATTCACTAACGGCTTTATTTTATAAAAGATGGCCTCCGCACAGAGTTTAATCATCATTTTGATATGAATCCCCTTCCTCCCAAGGGGTCAAAAGAAGCCTCTGTGTACCTGCCAGTAGAAGTCATCTGCCATTAGTCACATTAGTGAGAAACGCAGAAACAGCCATCGGAAAGGCTCCCTAAGCAAGTTATTCTCCTCTTTTCTGTCTTCCCTTCCCAATGTCTGCATGGACTAGAACCCTCAAGAGGGAGTGGGACAGGCTGGCCTAGGGAAGACCATTCCTCCACCCCAGCTCCTAGAACAGGGAGGAGAAAAAGTAAAAGCAGTAAGAGAAGACACTCCCGCTTCTGTATCCTCTAACCACAAACAGGGAAGAGGGAGACCTTATCTGGAATGTTATCTGGAATGTGCGATTACAACCTGAAGTTGGATTCATTTCTAATAACTGAAAAATACCAAAACTGAGCCACTAGAAAGTTGTGTCCAAGATGTCATTACAGGGTCAGAAAGGCCTGGCTGAGGGTAGTGACTAGGGAAAACTCTCCCAAACAACTGGATGTTTGCAGCCACTGAGTAGAGAATAGTCAATAAACGAGTCCTCATAATGACATGAAGTCCCATCGGGCCGCCCTCTAGATGAAGTGCTCCCAGTGGCTCCTTACTCCCTACCCTACAGGTTAAAAATGTACTCTGTGCATGACTCACAAGGCTATTTGTGATCAACCCTTTTTGCCTCCGAGGTGTCATTTACCTCTTAATTCCAGGTTTGGCATTTGCAATTATTCCAGTGTATCAGGCTCTCCCACTCCCTGTGTCTGCAAACAGTTTCCCCTGCCAGGATCGTCCCTTTCCCCTCTCATCTGTAAGGAAAATTCCCTCAAGTCTTGGTTTAAGCATGATCTCTTCTGTTGAGGCTTTCTAATATTTGTAGGCAGAATTACTTATTTCTTCTACCATATACCCTTTGTACATACAACTCAATTATCTTACTGAGATACTTCTCATGGCCGTAATTAATTGTCTGTCTTCTCACAAAACTCTAAATTGCTTGAAGGCATCAACTGTGTTCTCCCTTATAACCCCATTCCTGGGTGGGGAGGGAAGTGGCTTAAAGAACAAATCCAGAAACTGGGCCAAGAATATAACCACGCACTCCATGAAGTTTGCGTCAAAGAGACTGCCTTAAGTCTGCAATGATGTGGCCTAATCTGATTTTATCTTCTAGTGTTCTTTCTATCTCACACAGCTTCCTCTCAAAGCCTAATTGATCCTAAAGCCCCAACTTCGGCTAACTCTAAAAGGCCTGGCTAACCCTGGTGTAATGTACACTTTCTTTATATTACCACAGTGGAGTCTCCATTATCTATAGGAAGCTACTGTCTCCACGTCTCTGACCATGGCTGGTATTTGGTATTGTTATAATAAAATAAAGCTCATTCATTACATGCTATCTTTAGTTATCACTCCCTGGGTGGAAATCCAATTTCATTTAGGTCACGAACTTCTAGAAGGCAGGCCTTATCTTGCTTTATATTTCACATGGCAGAGATATGTTTAATTCTGTAAATGTCTTCTTGAAGTCTTACTTGGACCAGACACCATGCAAAGTAGCAGATACCAAGTGAAGAAGTCATGGTCTCTCTGCTCTCAAGGGCTTCACAGAGGCTGGTCCTTCTCTGCCTTGAAAGTTCTCCTTTCTGACCTTGAGGGAAGTTCCTGAGAGGGTCTGTGGAGCAGCAAAGACAGAGAGGGATGCTAAAGCAGCTGGCCAGGCCCTCAGGGGCTTCCACTGTACAGTCACTGAGATGACTGGAGTCCCATCGAATTATCCTCAGAACCCTTCTGGGTTCTAGCCCTAGAGATCCTTTTCATCTTTCATACCTGATTTTGACTGCACAGGAGCTGTCTCAGACTGTGAAATCATAGGAAGAGATGGCCTTAGAATCAGCAATGATTGAATTCAAATCCAATCTAGCCTAAACTGAGCTGGTCAGATTTTGTCACTTATTTTCCCATTAAATGTTGATAAGGTTGACCAGCCTTTTATAGTCCCAATATAAAAGATTTTTATTTATTCCCATAAATGAGGTATGTCAGGCCTCTGAGATTTTTCATCTCAATAATTGATGCATGTTTCTGGAATACTAAATGTAAGTAAGTCTAATCTTACACTTCTTTAGTCTTGGAAAGATAAGTATATCTCTAGTCTATATACAGAGAGCCTGTGTGTGTGTGATCATGTATGTATATATGTAGACACATTATACATTTAATGAGTAAAAAGTAGACATAAATTTTCTACTTCTCCTTTACCCCCTTTTCTAGTCTTTCCTCTAGGACAAAAGCTTTGCCTCCCTCTTTTTACTCTGGCTTCTAACTCTTTTTCTCCCCCTCTATTCCCCCTGTCCTCCCATTAATTCTTTAAACATAGTTTTATCCAGAGACTGTCAGGAAGTGCAGTGTGATACTCTGAGTACAGAAATCCGCCTCCAGGCTAAACTCTGGTGTGTCTTTTAGTTACCAAGGACATATATCTTCCCCTTAGTTCTTGCTCAGGGATTATATAAATGGGTCAGATTGAGAATCCATCTATTTCTTTAAAGCCCAACCCATCAACGGCTGTTACCACAATATGAGAGTTTAAGGTATTAGTCGTGTACCTGCAAGTACTGTGCAATCTTTACTTCCTTCCCTCTGGGAATGCGTTCCAGTAGACAGGGGTAGAGGGGAGAGAACAGAGCCTGAATAAGCTGCTCTATCTGGAAAAGCACTCCTTTCTATCTATCTTTGCCATTTTAATAAAGCTTAATGTGGGGAGAGAGAGATTTGGAGTCCTTCAAGAGCAGGCCCGTTAAAACAATCGCGGAGTGTGTAAAACACAGCTCGGGCCCTGTGTGTGGGTCTTCCAGTTGACGTCACCTCATAAACCCACAGGCTCTGTTCCTGGCCCCATCTGTAAGGCACAGGCTGGACTCATCAGTGACCTGCTTTTTCTGGAGATTAATTATTTGTTCGGACAGAGGTCAGGGGGAGGGTCTTTAAAAGATTGCTTCAGTGTTTGGCTCCATCCCCTCTCATTTGGGTTAAAAACTGGACTTCTCTGCTCGGCCTATCTGTAGGAAGGAGCACAGTATATGTAAAGGTCATCATTGACCCACATGGCCCATTCCCAGGAGGGACCAAGAGCCAGGAAGTGAAGGGGCTGTCCCTAAACTCTTAGGTTACCAGTCTATCCCCAGGACAGTCTGTGGTCAGATTGGAAATGCAATGAATTGAAAAAGGCACAGGGTTAGGGGAAGCCAGCTGACAGAGGGACTTGGGAAGAGTCTGCGTCCAAGGGGCCATGAAGCTGTTGGAGGACTCAGGCTTTTCTTTCTAAGGACATGCCAGGGTTTGCACATCTACTGCCAGGCTGTCTCTCTGGAATGTCTCTCAAAGAGAGAATAACAATCATTTAACAGAGTGCGGAAAAGAAAAGAAAAGGTTGAGGGGTAGCAGTTGTCAAATGTATGAGGGTTTCCAGAGGGAAGATAGAAAAAGCTGTGCACTCTGAGGACAGGATCCTGGGAACTGGACTTCTTTCAGAGAAAGTGGGCAGGAATTGATTTAACTAGAAGGTGATCAAAAAAGCTCCTCAAATTTTGCTCATAAATTTTAGGAGGGTGGCAAGTAGTGGTTTGTTGATAAATGTTTGACAATTTAAACATTTCTCTCTCTCCAGGGGAAAAAAAAAAGTCCTGGCTTACAGGGTTTACTGATCTCTGTGATGTAAATACTCCTATCAACACTGATTTCAATTAACAATGTGAGGCCACTGAATGTGGGGATGGGAAGTGATACACTCCAAAGGCTCTTCTGAACTGGTTGTCAAGATAACGCTAAAAAGGTTCCTAAGCTGTATTCCTGATTCTTATGATATAAGAGGCTTCATGACACAGCTGAAAAGTTGGAGCCCAAAGCTCCTGTCAGTTCTGCCCTGCCATCCTAGCTAGCCCTGCCTTCCTAATCCATACACTTTTCTCTGTATGTGTTTCATTAAAAAGTTGAAATATTGAATGGTATGAAATAAAGATATATTCCCACCCCTTGCAACTGTAAATATGTACGATTTGGTACCATCATTTCTCTATTAGTTCTCATCTATGATAAGGCACAGGACCGGGCTGCATTCGCAGTGGGTGGAAAGTGAGATTTCAGTCTGCAGCTAGTGTGTGGTCCCCTTTTTGAGGAACCAGAAGGAGAACACCTAGCTTCCTTCCAGGTAAAGGGCCTGATTGACATCGCCTGATGGGAATCATAGAGAGTTCTGGAATGCAGCTCCGTTCACAGCCCTTGGCTCCTCTGCGTGCCCCAAATAAACACAGACTGTTGACAGCCGTTTCAGATGAATCCCCTTGCAAGTACTGGCATGGCACACCACCGTAGCCATGGGGCCTGGCCCTCCAGGGAGGGAGCCCCAAGCAGGACTGCCACACAGGGGTTGGAGTTGGAGGGGGCAGAGGGGAGGGGGGTTCCTGAAAGCCATCCCAGCGTCCTGTGGTTTGGCAGCTGGCCTGGGAGCCCTGGGGCTGCCTGGGGAAAAGTCAGAAGAGAGAACAGAGGGAGGGTGTGAGGGAGGGGGGAGGGGGCCTGCTTTCACAAGGCAGGGCAGGCTGCGTGTGCCTGTCGGGGCTGAACTGCTGGCTCTTTCCTGAAGGGACTTTCTAGAAGGGAGGAAAGTAAAGTGCCATGCATTGAGCAAGGCAGCAACAGCCCCATGAGGCAGATTTGCATCGCCATGTTGCAGACAGGGGAACTGAGGCCTGAGGGAAAAAGGACAGGCCCCGTGCCCCTGATATATTAAATGCCAGTGATGAGATTTGATCCTGCCCTCTGTGCTCTGCTCTCTCCTTGGGCTTATGCTCCTTTTCGGTGCCTCTGGATCAAACCCTTTGCTCGACCAGCCAATCTAGGCCAAAACCTATTTGTCTGATTTTCTTTTGTTTGACCTTCTCACTTGCAAACAAGCCCCAGACTGACCAGTCAGATCGTGGTGGCCTCTGGTGACAATGGGGAAGGAAGGGGCTGTTAGTGTACAGCTTCTCTTTCAGGGCAGGTTCACTGTGCCCCTGGCATTTACACCCGAGAATCTTAGCTGTCTTGGCTCTGGCAGGGCACCAGGGCAGCCCTCCAGCCGGAGGGCTGGTATTAACACCAGTGATTTCTCGGACTCCTGACTTCAGAGACCAGCAACTTGTATTGAATCAACTGTGTGTCCTCACCCGAGCGTCAGCCCTGGTCAGCTGCTCAGTCGTGAATCCAGGCACGTCTATCTCTCCATCAGTCCCTGTGGCCTCGTTCTGCCCTTCAAACCCTCCCTGCACAAACATGAAACTCAGCACGGACTCCTCACAAGGACACTCACCCCTTGGCTCTCAGTCAGAATAAACAGGCAAGTCTCTAGACGCTAAAACCCTGTCCCAGAGCGAAATGAAGCCAGCATGGCCACCAGATGCCTCTCGTCCCACACCCGCCACGCTGTCTCTGTCCCTGTGTCTCCCACTGCCATTTTGTACTTCTCCACTAGAAAGCCAAACTCTAAAATTCCTAATTGTTTTCTCTGAAGAACTTCTGTTGAATTTTGATGGCTTAGATGTTCCTTTATCCCTGTGGGTTTGGTGGTAGTTTTGCTGGCTGGGAGGGACAGCCAGTGCTTTTGCCCCAGCTTGAGCAAGTCTATTTTATTGCTGTTCAAATGGGAATACATATACACAGGATTCTGTAGATGATAGTCATAATACCTCCCCACAATAATCATAATAGCAGCTAACATTTACTGTACACCTACTATGTGCTGGGCAATCTAGGAAGTGCTTTATGAAGATTACATCTTTCCTACTCACAACAGCTCCATGAAGTAGGACCTATTTTTATATTCATTTTCATATGAGGAAAATAAGGCTCAGATAAGTCAAGTAAATTAAAACTTAACCTAAGTTTTCAAAACTAATAAAAAAGTAAGTCTGATGCATCTCTGTCCTTAACGAATGTCCTATGTAGCTCTGACCACGAAATATGGATGTATATTCATGAATAATAGTAAGCTGAACCATAGGAAATGGCCATTTTGTAGGCTAGAGACAATCTAACACCAGGAATTTCATAAGGTTCCACCTAAAACACCAAACCAGAATCCTCTGTGATCACCAGACTTGATTATTACTGAGCATAAAAGTGGGGATTAAATGAGTGTGTGAATGAGTATATGAATTATTGGAGCAAAGTCAGTTTTCAATTTCAGGAAGAATGAGCCTGTGGGCAGGCAAGGTATGCGTGTGTTTGCGTGTGTGTGTGTGTGTGTGCCTCAGCCAATGGGTGGGGTCCCTTAAAAAAGCTATGCTCTGTCTTTACCTTCCCTGTGCAAACTGGCCACTCGTTTCCATCCCATATTTCTTACTGCTGCCACTAGGGTCTTTTTATCAGTGTTGACATCTTACCTCCAAAAAAACACTTTTCCTTTTGAACAGCTCTCACTTTTTTTTTTTGAACAGTTGCTCTTTTGAGGAAAGTGTTACAGCCTTAATGAACTCCCCAAACTCTTTTTTATCATCAGTAATCTAGGCAGAGAAAGTAATGGTTTCAGCTGGATGGGACTGACCGCAGAGAGAGCCGTCCCGTGGTCTGAGCCCCTGCAACCAACCGATTTTCTCATCTTGCTTTTGCTTTTCCTTTTCTCATCTCCTGATAGGATCAGCGTGATGTGAACCCAATTCTTTGTAACCCCCGCAGCCTAAGCAGGACCTGCCAGGGATGTGAAGAGGTTCCAGAGAAGAGCCTGAGTCAGAGCTATGATCTTTAGGATGGGAACCGGACCCTCAGAAAGGAAGGCATGTGGGAAAGGCCAGAGGCATCCTGGCCTCGCTGGAGGGAATGGGCAGGGTATCAGAGGAGCAAGGGCCAAACCTCAAGATCCAAAAAACAGGAAGCTCCAGCTTAGCCCTTCACGTTTCTTCCTTAGGAAGCCTTTGAACATGAATCAGGAGAAAAAATGGGTGAAGTTAGCACAGAAAAGTGGGAGGGACACACACCCAGTAACACTATAAAGAGGAGAAATGTAAGACAGACAAGAACATGGACCGCCGCTGGGCCCTCCATGTGTCTGCATTTCTCATTGCACACCCCAATCAGTAAAAATGTTTTTAAAACATTCCCCAGTGAGCACATGTGTGTTTACTACAAATTGTTCATACTTGTTACCATACTAGCATGTGCATTCTGAGACAGGCACAAAATATAAATTAAAATGGATAAGATAAAAGTAAGTAAGAGTAGAAATGAGATTTCCTTTCCACATCCTTGAGGAACCATCTTGTGCAGTCCTTGGGGTGAACTCATGCCATTTTGGAGGCCTTTGGGTTAGAAGAGCATCGCCAATAGAAATACAATGCAAATTGCAGGTGTGTAATTTTCTAGTAGTCTAATTTAAGAAAAGTAAAAAGAAATGGATGAAATTAGTTCTAATAATACATTTTACCTAACCCAGCACATCCAAAATATTATATTTCAATGAATAATCTCTCTATATAAACAGTATAATGAGTTATTTTGTAACTTGAGTCTTTGAAATCTAGTGCATATTTTACACTTAAAGTACCAGACAAGCCACATTTCAAGTGATCAGCAGCTCATATAGCTCATGGCTGCTCTATTAGACAGCATGGGATTAGAGGAGTATAACCTCAGGAGGAGGAGAAGGGCTAGAGGACACTGGACATGTGTCTGTAGTTGAGGCTGAAAATGATAGCCTAAGTATGCCAATCTGCCATTGCCAGCAGTGTGAGCTGTGAACTCCCTTGACTAGACACCCTTAAAGTAAGCATATCAAGTTCAGAGTAGAGTGATCCCATTACAAAGGAATTGTACATGAGCACATAAATGTGTAAGTGTAGTAAAGATGTGCATAAATAAAGAGTGAATATTAGTCACTGTGGGGATATAAGATTGGTGAACAGTGAGAAGTAGATAATTAACATTTTCTTTGTATTTGTCTGCAGAGTTTGAATTGTCAAAATGCATATTCATTTGAAGAGTAATTTTAAGTGACCATAATTTTTACAAGGACATGCATTAATTTCTTCATAGAGAATTCATTCTTAATCCTTATTGATAAAATAATATTTCTTCCATCATCAAGACCTGGACTTTCCCAGAGGTCAAAGCATTCCTCTTTATAAATGAGACTTTTATTTTTTTATTTTTGGCAGAGGAAGACTTGGGAGAGTGATGATGGGTTTAGGGTTGCCAGATAAAATACAGGGTTAAACTGAATTTCAGATAAACAATGATTAATATTTTAGCATAAGTATGTCCCATGAAATATTTCCTTAAATGATCCAGGGATAACCTCAATATTATACATATTTATACTAAAAAATTATTCACTGTTTATCTGAAATGCAAATTTAACTGGACATCCTGTATTTGTATTTACCAAACCTAGTGGGAATCTAGTGCTTATTTTATTTGCACTGCCATTTGGGCTGCCATTGTCACAAAGAGGTCATGTTGTCTTGAAGAGCTGCTTTTCTCTGCACCCAGGGGAAAGTATCATCTCCAAGGGATTTATTCCTAAGTGGGATGTGGTGAGGAGGTCTCTCTAATTCCTCCTGCCATGACCCAATAATTATACAAGCAGATTCATCTCCCAGTCTTGCATCCTCTTACTTTGTTTTTTTTCCAAATAAGGTCTTAAGTCTCTGGAATTTGAATTTCTCCTCTATAGATATTTTAAGCAACTTGACTAGAGAGAGATACTACAATTCTTGAATGTCCCAAATAAGCATATTATTAACCATGGCTGGCAAACACACCTATTTTAGTCTTGGCCTTCAGAGAATTTTTAGTATTTTACAAAGAATATTCTCCAGTATTTTTAACTACATATCTATATACAACACAGTGCTGGTATCATGGCAAGTGCTGTGTGGATGTGTGGATGTGTGTGCTTGTGTGCATATA